TATATAGTGTAAACTGCTGCTGACACTCCCAGTGCATTGTGGTGTAATTACTGTCTTTCACAGGACATACAGGTTGTTACCCTGTCAAAATAAAAGTTCATTTTTAAAGTACGTGGTTGCAGCAAACGAATGAAAAGAAGAAAAATCGCACGTGTCCTGTGGATCTATTTTTCTTTTTATATAGTAAACTATGTGAGTAGCTTACTCGTATACAGTTACGTTTAAAGAATCAAGAAGTTCTGAGAGTTTTAACACGATGATCACGTGATCAGTTACGTCACTTCAGCTCACTATTACGTGCGCAGAGCGGCCAACAGCCCCATTCGCTGAAAACTTTTTATGCGGGACTGTCATAGCGTTTGACCGTAGGGTTGTATAGTTCGGATCGGAGCAGGTTAGGTTTGAGCGAAACTACGATTATTTTCATTTCATATCTGCAAGGTAGGAGAGACGGGCCGTTCATAAATGATGGTGCTGCATAAAGACACGTTTGTCCCGCCGATGGAGTTCGAGCGGCTTTTCGACCACAGAGAGACGCTGATGTGGATGCAGCAGAACTGGTGAGTTTATATATTATATATATTTTGCCGTGATCAGCGAAAAAGCTGCTGTTAAACAACGAATCCAAAGAAATACGTAAAAAATAAAAAAAAAAAATAAAAAAAAAGAGACAGAAGAAAGAAGTAAAGGCTCGTGGTTCCGGGGAACTGTCCTGTTGCGCAGCCACTCGGATGCTGCCTCCTCAAACAGTCATTCTATCTATGAGATATTTCTATGACACACCTTTCTTTTTACTCTATGACCTGCTATGACGGTATCTGTACTGTTTCTATTTATAATTTATGACTAATTATTTGTGTATTTTTGTATTTTGTATTTTTACTGTAGTTTGACAAATTGTAAGTCTCTTTGGATGAAAGCATGTGCTAAATGTATTGTAATGTAATTGTAATGTAATGGTTGATACATTTTGTCCTCCACAGGTGGTTGTCCATTCCCTTTGGTGTCCTCTATGTCGCCCTGGTGTTTTTTGGGGTGTACTACAGGAGGCAAAGACCCCAAATGGACCTTCGGGTGTGGCTGTTTCTCTGGTCCCTGATGCTGGCAGTGTTTAGGTAAGGACACACACACACACACACACACTGTCTAACAGCGACAGCGTTATATTTAATTGCAGAATATTTTAATAATAAAAACCTTAAACAGGGGGAGTCATCGTGCAATAAGCCGGTGTTACACTTCCAACATTGTAGTTTAGGTGTGATTTTACACTGTGTGTCAACCATGTCTTTGTGTTGTTGTTCTGTTGACAGCATTGCTGGAGCACTTCGTACTGTTCCCTACATGTTCCACGTTCTGCTCAGTGGTGGTTTCAGACGTTCCGTTTGTGACCAGAGGTTCTACACAGACCCCGTCAGCAGCTTCTGGGCCTACGCCTTCGTCCTGAGCAAAGCTCCAGAACTGGGTCGGTCTCTTGGTTCTTCAGAAAATACCATGATGGTTTTTAAGCAACTCTGAATTGTATATTAATGATATGTGGGTTCTTATTTTTTTGACGCCACCTTCAGGTGACACTGCCTTCAATGTGCTGAGGAAGAAGAAGCTGCTGTTCCTGCACTGGTTCCACCACATGACCACGCTGATTTATTCCTGGTACGGCTACAAAGAGATGGTGGCCGGTGGTGGGTGGTTCATGACCATGAACTTCACCATACACGCCTTCATGTACTCCTACTACACTCTGAGGGCCGCTGGTGTGCGTGTGCCTCGCGCGGTAAACGTGGTCATCACCAGCCTGCAGATCGCTCAAATGGTCATGGGTCTGTTTGTGTGTGTGCTGGTCTACAACTGGATGCCGCAGGGCGACTGCCCCTCCAGCGTAAGCAGCGTCGCGTGGGGGGGGTTCATGTATCTCAGCTACCTGCTGCTCTTTGTTCACTTCTTCTACAAAACCTACATACGTCCAACAAACGTCTCTCACTCAGGTGAAACGGCCAAGATTGAGAAAATTGAGTGAGAAAAGCTGAGATTCAGACTAGACCAAAAATATAAAATAAAATAAGTAAAAGCCCCACTTTATTTCTGATATTGGATCCAAAAAGTTCAAATTATTATTATTATTATTATTATTATTATAATTATTATAACACTGATACACCAGTGTTTTAAGTGAATGACTACTGTGTTGTGTTCCCTGGTCCAGAACACAGTAATCTAAATTTACCTCTCACAATCTTGCTTTAAAGGACCATAACTGTAAGAAAAAACACTGTATAATTGAGGTTCCCAATGAAAATGACTAAATTATTTTTATTTATTTTCACAAATGATGCAGGCGTCATCATTCCTTGCAGTTATTCCGCCTCCTTTCCGACTGGTCTTTAATATTGTGTAAACATGTGTAAACTTGAATGATTAAAAAAAAACTCCTTTTGTCTTTTAGTGTGGTCATAGTTATTTATTTTAAAAGTAAGAATGTTTAAATGCTACTGCCTGTTGTCTCTGGTCAGTGGTTCTTTGAAGAATAAGCTTTTAAAGCAAAGATTACTTCTTGTGGTTGCTGTGGTATGCAGGCTATGTGTGTGTGTAACTATGTTGATAGTTGTTGATGACATTCCCATAGGAATTGCCTACAGGGAATTTTGATCTTATTCTAGAGACTTTTCATTCCCCAGTATTGAAATGTCACTCTCTCACACATATTTAGTTAAAAAATATAGAATAGAAGTTAAAAAAAATTAAATATACAGTATATTTAAAAATAATAAACAATAACAAAGGCATGCATTTGTAGGAGAAAACAATTCTCTGATGA